CACTGCATGCTAAACGGTCTGCATCTGCATTCTGTTCCCTCGGCAACTGTATGAATTCAATCTTTGCAAAGTCCTTGGCTCTACGCAGAACGGTAGAACGATATGCCCCCATCATGTCATCCTTGGCTGCGTACTCACCATTTACCTGCCGAATAATCAGCTGCGAGTCACTATACACTGTCAAACTTTTGATCTGTAGCTCTCTGGCCAACTTTAATCCATTTAGCAACGCCTCGTATTCCGCTTCATTATTGGTGGCTCGGAACTCAAGTCTGAGTGTTTGGCTCAAGGAAGTACCCTCTGGGGTTTGCAGTTTGATCCCAATCCCAGCCCCCATCTGGTTAGAGGAGCCATCCACAAAAAGTTTCCAAGAGCCGCTTCTAAGGTCCTCTTCCGTATCTTCGGCATCACATTCTAGTAGGAAATCGGCCACCGCTTGCCCTTTAATAGCTGTTCTCGGCTCGTACGTTATGTCAAATGAACTCAACTCTATGGCCCACTTTGTCATTCTGCCCGAGAGCTCTGGCTTGTGCATGAGCGTTCTGATTGGGAAAGTTGTTAGAACAGCTATGGGGTGGGATTCAAAATAATGCCTTAACTTTCTTTTTGCATATACAAGTGCAAGTACCACCCGTTCGGCCTTTGAGTATCTTTTTTCTGCCTCCATCAGTGTTTTGCTTACATAAAATACCGGGTATTGCACCCCTTCCTTGCAACGAATCAGAACGGCACTCGTCGCGACACCAGATACTCCAAGATATAGAAATAACTTTTCTTCCGGTTCTGGGGCTGACAGGACTGGAGGATTCTGCATATATTGCTTTAAATGAGTCAATGCCTGTCGTTGCTCATCCCCCCAGACCTGCCTTCCATGGCTCCGAATCGTGTCAAAGAATGGTTTGCAGTGGTCTGACAACTTTGAAACAAATCGACTTAACGCAGCTATTCGTCCTGTTAGGGCTTGCACCTCTCTGATCGTCTTTGGCTCGGCATTCTTAATCAAAGCCTCTGCTTGAGCGGGGCTAACTTCGATGCCCCTGTGGTTGACCACGTGTCCCAGAAACTGCCCGGAACTCACACCGAACGAGCACTTGGTCGGATTGAGCCTCATTCCATATCGCCTTAGTACATCGAATACATCTTGCAGATGCTTCAGATGATCATCCTTTTTCCTACTCTTTACCACCATATCATCAATATAGGCTTCGACAATCTTACCCATTTGATTCTTAAAAACTTTGCTAACAAGTCGTTGATAAGTTGCTCCCGCATTCTTTAGCCCGAAAGGCATAACTTTGTAGCAGTATGTACCTCGCTCGGTGACAAAAGAAGTTTTTTCTTCATCTGCGGGGTCCATAGGAATCTGATTATAACCTGAATATGCGTCCAGAAAGGTCAAACGCTCATACCCAGTGGTGGCATCCACTATTTGATCAATCTTAGGCAGCGGGAAGCTGTCCTTCGGGCAGGCTTTGTTCAAATTGGTGAAATCAATGCATACTCGCCATTTCCCATTTTTCTTCTGCACTACAACGACGTTGGACAACCACTCAGGGTAGTGCACCTCTCTGATAAATCCCGCATCAAGCAGCCTATCGACTTCTTCCGCTATGATCTGATTACGTTCTGGAGCAAATCTTCGCTGCTTCTGTTTCACTGGTTTGAAACTGGGATTGACATTCAGGGAATGACAGGATACGGAAGGACTAATTCCAGGCATGTCTAGGTGACTCCATGCGAATACGTCGACATTGTGGGACAAAAAATCCACTAGCTCTTGCCGCTCTTCTCTGGTCAGTCTTATACCTACTCTGGCAGTTCGTTCTGGCCTGGACTGATCGATCTGCACATCCAGAAGGGGCTCCTCGGTCAAGTCGACTGACTCCTCCACCCTATTCTGTTCGGGCGGAGGTTTCTGTAATTGCTATCTGGGGCTTGTCGAACGGACGGGCGCCTTTCCTTTCCCAGCATGCTTTAGTGTGACGGAATAACACTCTTTGGCTGCGACCTGATCCCCCCGAATGTCTATTACTCTATCCCCATCGGGCCCGAGGCACCTCATGACCTGATGCAGAGTTGAGGGTACACCCCGGACTCTGTGAATCCATCCTCTTCCCATCAGGAGATTATACGAGGGGTGAATTTCCATAACCACAAAAGTTTCCATAAGCGCTCGTTCTGCAGCTTGAACTTCTACTTCCACCATCCCGACGGGTTCCACCCTCTTCCCATCGAACCCTAATAAGGGATTTCCGGTGGGCTTGAGCCTCTCTGGTTTAATGTCGAGCCTGTCAAATGTGTCCCTCGGCATAACATTCGCACTGCTCCCAGGATCGATCAGAACTCTGCGCACCAAGCAATCTGCCACTGTCAAACTGACTACCAACGGGTCGTCATGAGGCAGTTGAACACGCTGCAGGTCTGTCCAGTCGAACTTTATCTGCATTGACGGGCTCTGCTGGTGTAGAGTGGACACATTGCTGACCCTTTTCTTCATCTGCGCCTGCCGCAGGCGCACCCGTAGCAGCTCATCTGACTCTTCACTAGGCTCGGGTCGACCATGGATAACATTGATTATACGAACTGGTTGCGAATTGTGGGAGCTTTGTTTATGACTCCTTTTTATTTGTTCCACTGGTCGATTCTGCTCCATCGCCGAGCCTTGAACATAACTCGCAAACTCCCCTTTAGCTATCAACATCTCCACTTGCCTCCTCAGGTTCCTGCATTCGTTAGTCTGATGTCCGAAATCAGAATGAAAAGCACAATGTTTAGTTTGATCCCTCTGCTCGAGGGGTTGTCTAATTGGCAGTGGTGGATGAAACTTGTCCTTGTTCTCCTGATACAGCCTTGCCAGAGTGACCTTCAGCGGAGTAATCAACTCTTCCTCCCTGGACCTTTTTTCGGCCTTCCAAGTGGTCTGACGTTGTGGCTGAGCCTGCTTCTGCCTGATCTTTGCCTTGGACTTCTCCTCGGTCGACACAAGCGACGTTGTCCGAGCATTAGCTGCCTCCTCTTCTTCGAGGCGCACAAAGCCATCGGCTCTCTCATTGAGTTCATCCATGGTAGCCGGCGTGTTCACTACCAGACTGGTGTGAAAGGGAGTTCCGCGTGTCATGGCTAACTTGAAGGCTTGAACTGCCGTAGAAGGGTGGCATTCGATCACCATACTCTTAGTGAGATTAAACCTGGTAAGAAAGGCCTGGAGACGTTCATCCTTGTGCTGCCGCATCGTGAAGAGGCTCGAGATGTCCTTCGGCGGGCGTTTGTTCCCATAGTACTGACTTATGAACCGATCGCACAGGTCTCTGAAACTGCCAATGGAGCTCCTAGGCAAGTTTTTGAACCAGCTGAGCGCCGGTCCAGCCAGGCTTGTAGGGAAACATTTGCACATTAAAGAGTCGTTTTCCGTATTCAGGGCCATTTTCAACTGGATATGATACACATGATCGATCGGATCGGTCGTTCCGTCAAACAGAATAAAGACTGGCATAGTAAACTTCCTTGGATGCGGCGCATTCAAGATCTCGTCGGTGAATGGTGAATCCACCGTCCGAGCCGCGGATCGGAGAGCTTCATTCTCTCTCTGGAGTCCAGCGGTAGCTCTGTGAGTTACGGTTCTGCCCTCCGAATCGTGATGAGTGACAGTAACCATGGAGGGTCGGTAAGACGGATCGAACGACCGTTCCTCTATGAACTCTCTTTGCCAAGGCGACGCTACTCGACGGCGATCAACCTCCATCACTTCCTCTCGGTCAAACCTTTCCCGCTGCGGATCAACGTGAGTCGATCCTTCGTGATCTTCAACTCGACGAACATTTGGCGGCAAATTGTCCATCATCCTTTCGTCACGGTGGTGAGCTGACTGATTGTTCTCGTCCTGATCGCCTTGATGCGCGATATTAGATGGAACACCTCCTTCTCCGACCGGAAGTGGATGCGAAACCGCAGGTATTTGCCGATGCTGCAGTCCAGCTTTCAATTCTGCATTTTCTTTTCTGAGAGCTTCAATCAAGTTCATCAACTCTTCAAGCTTTGTTTGCTGGACAGCCTCCATCGGATTGGAGCTTTCACCTATCATTATTCCCGAACGGAGTAAAGGCATTAATCTCAAGTTCGCGAGTAGATCTGAGCTTCGTGAGTAGGAATTTTTAGATCTGGCTTCTAATTCTCCGAATTATGCTCACTGTTTACAAGATCTGAATTGTCTAAACTCTAAATCCGTCAGATCCTGCCACAATCGAGCAACTCGTGGTTGCGTAGATCTGAAGTCACTCCTGCCAAAGCTTCAAGAATCGTAATTCCTCCAGAGTAGGTCACAATCGCTCAGATCTGGATTCAAATCCGCAAGATCGAGTCTCGATCAACCAAATTGGTTTGAATCCATTCGATACTCCTCATTGATCAACCAAACTTTCATGCGTTTCCCACAGACGGCGCCAATTGAAGATGCAAGAAACTCCTTCTATTCTTTCTCTCTCTAGAATTCTTACACCTCAACCCGGAAAGATCCCTCTCCTCTTCATTCCAACTCCTATTTATAGACACTTACAAGATATTTACAAGATATTTACAAGATATTTACTAATTGCTGGACCTGGGCCTATTCCTCTGTAAGCCCTGGTCACCCTTGATGGGCTTACTCCCGCTCGGCCCATATGGCAGTGTCTTTCTATGGGCTGACCCAGCTGTTCGGACTGAAGGTTGTGTTTTGCGAGTCGGACCTGGCCCATGTCATCCGGGGCCTCCTCAACTTCTAATAATATTTTTGTGATATTTATTTTGGACGATCCCATAAATTCAAAAAACTACACCCATGCAGTATGGTGCAATCGAGATACAAATCAATAAATCATACAATGGATTGTTTTTTTAGGGGTGATTTTTGCATACGTTTTGAGAAAGTGATACCCTGTGAAATATGAGTAAATATAAAGGCGGGTAAATGAAATAATCCTTTTTAGCAATGAATGGGACCCACTATGAGGTGAGTTCTTATCATCGAAACTGGAGACTACTCCCGCAGCAGGGAATCTCTCTGTAATCGGAAGGCACGCACGGACTCTCTCCCTTGTTGGTGTGAAGCAGTTCGCGCTGTGTCTCTCTCCAGATCGAGATTCCAAAGGGAGGACAATCCATGGATAATCCGCGTCAAAGTCGACTCATTTCAGAAGAATATCGTCTCATAAATCTATGTATTCAGCGTATCAAAATCGTATATCGCACAAGGTCTGTCTCTCTCTAGAAACTGTAATTTTTGGGCTTCTATTCGTTGAGTTGTTAATTGCGAGGTCACAATCTTAGTGATCTTAATTTTTTTTTGGTTCCTTTTTTGAGCTAAAGTTAAGCTTTTTATCTGGTTGTCCAGATAATTTAGGGATTTTTCTTCAGTTGACCGAAGCAAATTAGGGTTTTGATCTGGCTGGGCAAATAAAGGTTGGGTTTTATTTGGTCCACCATAAGAAACTAGAGTATTGATTTGGTTGATCGTGGGATTTGATTTGATTTGATTGAGCAAAATAAGAAAGGTTGGAGTTTTGATTTGGGTATTGTTAAAATTGTAATGGCGGACGAGACACCAAATACAATGAACCTCGATTTGAATTTAGCTCCTTTGGCCCCTCCCTCACCCGATAATGATCCAGGGTCTGGGTCGAACTACAATTCTGTCAATTTGGAGGAGGGTGTTCTATTTGAACGACTTAGGGAAACTGTTAGGCGAGGTACCAGGAATAATGAGCTGGGGTCTGGATCGTTCTTTGAATCAGTAAACTTGGAGGACTGGATGGATGGGGGTGTTCAATTCGAACGCCTTAGGGAAGCTATTAGGCGGAGTACTAGGCATAATGAGCTGGGGTCGTACTACGAGAATGTAAACTTGGATGAATGGAGGGATGGAGGTGTTCAATTTGAACGGCTTAGGGAAGCTGTTAGGCGGGGTACCAGGCAGAGATGGCGATCACTCTGGCGACCTGTTCCTGTTCCCCCTGAAAGTAGAAACATTGCCCTTGACTTGATGGTCAATTCTGGTGGTGGTGATGATGGTGGTGGTGCTGGGAGCATGCAAGCTGGTGAGGGTAGTGTCACTGCTGAGGAAAGAAATACCGAAGTAATAAAAACTTGCGAGAATAATACTACCCATGTAGAGGATGAGGCACTGGGGAAAAGGGAAGATGTGGAAAAGGGTAACAGTGATGAGGGGAGCTTTTTTTATTGTAATATATGCTTGGACATGGCTAGGGATCCCGTTGTGACTTGTTGTGGTCACTTGTTTTGTTGGCCATGTCTCTATCGATGGTTGCATGTTTACTCAGATGCAAAAGAATGTCCAGTGTGCAAGGGAGAGGTGACGGTTAAAAATGTGACTCCAATTTATGGCCGCGGGAATCATACCCATGAGCTGGAGGAGGATTCAAGCCTGAAAATCCCTCTCAGGCCCCAAGCACGGCGGGTTGAGAGCTTGAGGCAAACTATACAGAGGACTGCTGCATTCACTTTCCCGATGGAGGAAATGATTCGGCGTCTTGGCAGTAGATTTGATTTGACTCGAGATTTGGTCCAAGCCCAGCTTCAGAATACTGAAAATTCCCGTGATTCACCTGAGAGAAGTCACTCGCTGCTAAATCGAATTCTGACTTCTAGGGGAATGCGCAGAGAACAGAGTACAGTTGTGCCACCAGATGATGTGGTTGATTTGACCCAGAACAGCCCTACTAACTCTGAGGTGGGGGAAAGCAGCAGGCTTTCATCCCTTTTACTTCGAAGGTCGCATTCACGGAGAGCTACTACAAATTCATATCTTATACCTGCATTGAGTTCAGCTGAAAGGTCAGTTGATTCGTATTTCCACAACCATCCTGTAGAAAGGAATCAAGAGCAGCCTCCATTGGTTGATGATAGAGATTCTGTGTCTAGCATGGCTGCTGTTATACACTCAGAGAGTCAGACAGTCGATACTACCCCTGAAATAGATTCTAATATGTCCCTTTCCACTTTAATTTCCAGAAGAAGAAGAAATGGTGCTTCAAGGGTTTTGGATGCCGACACTGGTGATTCTCGAGCACCTAGGAGGAGGAGACTGAACTAAAATGAGGTCCCCATAATTAATAATTATTCTCTTCGGAATATAATTTTCCCAACAACTTTGTAAGTGAAAATTCCCTTTATATAGTGTTTTATTCTAAACAATATTCACCTTTTCGCTACAATTATTGACTGCCACGAGGTGCTTATAAAAACCTCTGTGAGGCTTTGCTGTGTAGGAGATGTGGTTTACGTCAATGTTCCGTTCCTTTAAGGGTTCTGTGCTATCAGTTTGTATGAAAAAATCTGAAGTGCAGCAAGCAGGCTTGCCCATTAGTTTCTCCTGTAGATAATATTTCAAACTTTAATCTATATATGCATGTTTGTTTTATGTTCCAGGTTATATTTAAGTCTCTCTTTATCTATGTAGTGCTTTTTATGAAAAAATAAGTGCATTGTTCTCATTCTAGTGTGTGCAAATCATGACTGGATGATCAGGCAAATTGTTATTTTTTCTGGTACCGTCGTCTTAACAGGTTTTTAGTTGACTATTTGCACCGTTTTCCTCTAAGAATTGTTAGCTCTCCATTTTAGAATGAACGGAAAAGTTATATAGACAAGGTGGTTCTTTTTTTTATTTTATTTTTATGTTACCGAAGAATTACTACATAAACCATTTAGTACAATTTTTCGTCATATCATGTCCATTTGTTTTGAATATCATGATGTCATCTACATTTCCGGTTCCTACAAAGGTTACTATCCGCTAATAGCACCAAGTAAAAATTGCTTTGGGAATCAACTTGTTCCATTGGTTACAATTCTAAACAAATCTGATGTCTTTTTTAGGAAGCCAAATCCCATGTCTTTCCACCTTGAATGATAATACCTTCCCATGTATAGATATTATTTGCACCTATACCACTTCTATATCGTTCTTTTTGTATATCACCCATTTCATTTCAAAATGACTGTGTTACTTATTCTTCATTCATTTTCTACTCTGAACTTGAAGTTGAGTTTGATTCATTTGGTTTCTACAGTCGTCTCCATGTATAATTTATTTACTTTTTATTTGTGTGATAAATCTTTAATATGATAATGTTCCCCCTTAAAAGTTTTTACTGCTTAGAAACCAAAAATTTACACATTAAAACTTTTTGGATTTCGGCACAAAGCTAGCTAGTATTCCTAAATTTAAAGATGGCTTCTAAAATGTCTGGATTGAATGAATTAGAACACTCTTTTGTCCATGTTGGTTTTCTGGTTGAGTCTTTGTTTTTTTATGGTGATGTCATTGAGATCGATTCATCATTTTGAATTGTTAAAGCTGTTAATTGTAATATAAATCTGTTTTTGTTTATAGAATAAGTTTAGATTTGAGTAAATGTGGAAAGCTTGCAAATCCTCTTCTTGCAAGTTGTTTCAGTATTTGTTTCTATTTCAGGAAAATTTTATTAATTAATTGGTCCACAGTACTGCACACCATAATTTTTTGGACTAGAGTTATTATTAGAAGTTGCATTGTTTGTTACACATGATTGTTGTTCATGTAGGTATTGTTTCTTACGCACTTGTATATGTAACACAGTTGCAATGTATTCTACTGCTGCTTTTATCTACAGAATCTCTTAGTAGGATTTTCAATAAACAAATCAATAAATTGAACTTTTTTTTTTTTTTTTTCCCTGTTCTTTGCATAAATTCAACATAATTCTACTTTTGTTAGTTACCCAGAACTGAGAAGCATGTAATTAAATGGAAATGAAATCGTTTAACTGTGTGTTTCCTTGAGAATGGCTCCATTGGTTGTGTACGATGTGTCATATTTAGAGGTGCATAAGATGTTGTCACAAGATTTTGCATTAGTGAGATACTTTGTATTGATTTATTACCATATGTCTTCTTGTGTGTTTGTTTTGCATTGATCACCAATTGGCCATTAAGAGCTGGAATGCATCGTCGTTGTTGAAATGCTTCTGGATCTTTCTGCATTACTAGAAAAACAGAATGAAATGTGTATCAGGATTCAACAATGATCCCTAGATACAATTATGTTTGGGGAAAAAAAAGTAGAGATATCTTTAATAGCTATATCTCATAGCACCCTAGAAAACAATCTTACTATTTTCGTTAGTCTCAACTGCATTTCGTTTTGAGATGTTGACAAATAGTATGTTTCTTTCTTACTCTAATTGCTGTGAAAAACTATATATCACTCACTCTGCAATTCGGAAACAATTTGTTTGGGATGGTATTGGGTTTCCGTTATGAGAAATTGGCGGCAATAGTAGTGTTTGGTCAAAGTCATTTCGAATTTTTAAGACACGATATGCCTTTTCCTTTCCCTTGGCCTCTTTTATTTTGCGAGGAACTTTATAATTTTGCGTAATTGTTATCAGCTTGTAGTTAACTTTTTGACTTCTCTGAACTGGTGTGTTCTTGAATTATGTTCAGCAGACAGCAGGATCTTCAGATGAATTCCTTTACACTGCATTTCATTCATGAATGTTATGGTGGTAGGTAGGCAAGGAAAATGCAAAAGAAATTATTTTCCTTTTATTTGGTGTTACCAAGAAAACAGGGAAGAAAATAAATACTCCATATAGGAAGAAGAAGAAGAGATTATTTTCCTTTTATTTGGTGTTCCTTCTTTATTTGATCTTTGACCATTTATTTATTTATTTTCTTAAAACAGAAGTCCTCTACTTTTTGTTTCTCCGCTGGTTTGTGCTCGTCTTAACACTAGTAGTTGCTGCTGCTTACCATCAAAACCTCATTTCTTCAATTAAAAAAACGTAAATGGGTTAAATTCACAGAACTCCCTGTATTTTTTAAATTATGCATAAAATTCTAAATAGAATTAAAAAATTTCTTGTATCCTATTGTCAAATGACAAAATTGATCCTATTATTTAATATTAAATTAAAATATAAAAAATTATAAAAGACCATGAAATAATGTTAAATTACAAATTATTATTTAATGTTAAATTATAAAAATAACCTTGTTATTTTAAAATTAAAAAAATTAACATTGTAACTTAATATTAAATAGCAGCAAGGCCAATTTTATCATTTTATTTCACCACCATTGTATTTCTGTGAGTTATTATTAGAGTTTTGTGATTTTAATCCTAAAATATTAAAAATTAAAACTTAGAAGATCCAAATCCTTTCCATTGTATCCCTATGAGTAGTTATCACCATGAATTGCACATCTAATTTGTCTCTAAACCAGACCAGAAAAACCAAAATTGATCGTAATAGTGCCTGCCCTACCCTGCCCTGCCCTTTTCAGGGAAAGACTCGTTGAGTCTACATGTAATGGCTACTTTCCGGTTGATCAATGATCGCGTTATAGAAGAAGTTGAAGATCAGCTGTTAACAACTTTCTCTATAACAATAACAGTAATGGAGTATTAAGATTTTGGGGGTAGGTGAATAATTTTAGGTATAACGACCGAATAGTGACGTTGAACTAATTGGATGACTACTTGTAGCGTATAGAGAAGTTTCCTAGCAAAAACTTGGTCTTCGTCTACCATAGAAAAGGGGAGAGAGGACTTTGACCCAGTGTTCTTGCAAGGAAATGGAGAGGGAGAAGAGCTACAGAGAAGCTCAATCCCTCCATTTTACATCTTCAAATCACAAGGCAAACATAGCTGATTAAGTTTAGTGACACTCCACCGGTATACATATAATTCAGGTGAGGATGCATCTACTTACCCGTATATAAATCTATTTCTTGTTAATTTTTTTTTGTTAGTGTTTATGTCTAATTGTTTTCATTATTTAATTTTTTTGGCAATTAAATGCATTCTCTAACAACTAATACTTGTGAATCCTGTAGAAATTGAACATGCTATATGTACGGATATATAGGAGGATCTTTCTAGAATTTTATGAATTGATAGGTTCTTGGTGCTCATTATAGTACTCTCATCCTGAAAACATGCACGTTCTTTTAGGAAAACATGATCATCAAGTCTGTTAGGAAAGTTGTGTTTATTGATTATCGATCATAAATGAATAATTGCCTGTGAAATATACTAGTACTACTTGTTTATGATATTTTTAATTAATTTGGAGATAATCAAGGAGGAGTATGGGAACCATCTTCAGCAGCAGCAGCAGAGTCTCAAAAAAGGAGAGATACATGCTGTGCAATGGAGGCCTGTTGTTAGAAGAGCTACTCCGTTCATGTGATGGAAAATATAATTCCTTCCGAATTTTCTCGGCCAATGAGCTCGCACAAGCAACCAATTACTACCACGAGCAGTTTGTTGACACTGATTATTGCACAATGTATAATGGCTTCTTTAATGGCCGTCCAATATTTGTCAAGTGTCCTAGAGATTATGACAAAAGAAATGTTTTAGAAAAGGCCATTAATGAGGTTGTGTTTGCCTCACAAGTGAACAGCCACAAGAATATACTCATGCTCTTGGGTTGCTGCCTTGAAACTGAATTTCCAGTGCTCGTGTATGAATATGCAGAAAATGGAACTCTTTCACGTCTTATAGGTACCGAAGGGTCTCATAATCACCGGCAGCTTTTACCATGGAATAATAGATTAAAGGTTGCCAAGGAGATTGCTGATTCTTTGGCCTATCTCCACACAGGGTTGTCCACGCCCATCATCCATAGGTGCATAAAATCGAGCAACGTCCTTGTAGATGCTAATTATGTTGCCAAACTCTCAGAATTCAGTTTGTCAGTATCAATTCCTTTAGGGAAGGAATACCTAGAAACAAGTGTGGTGGGGACGACAGGATATGCTGCTCCTGAATATGTCGCAACCGGGAAACTAACTGACAAGTGTGATGTTTATTTGTTCGGAGCACTATTGATTGAAATTTTGTGTGGAGAAAGGTACTATGATTTATTGCGAAGGTTTTGGGATCTAAGAGATATGAATCAAAATGAATCTAATTCGGTGTCAAGTGGTGCTTGTAATTGGGTAAATAAGGTTGAGGGAAGGGATTGTGATCAGGTTGCCTCAAATCATAGAGCAATTGACTTGATATCTACCAACAACTTCCAGGAGGTGCATGGTTGTGATCAGGAAATATCAAATGTCCTAGAGGTTAATGACACACATGTTAATTCAACGTCTGATGATGATTTAGGTGCTACTAATTCAACATCAACTATTGAACAAGGTTTATTCAGGGACATGGACATGGAATTTCTTCATCAATCGATCCTAGAGGGTGCAGAGAAGTATATTGGACCAGAAAACATGTTGGAAAGTCACTTGAAGCAATCCATGGCATGCTCCCAACTTGCATTTGAATGCGGTAAGCCTAGTGCACAAGAGAGGCCAACGATGACAGAAGTTGCAAAAGAGCTTAGGAGGATAATAAGCTTCCAGTGCATTAGCCCCACCAGTCCATGAAAAACAGGTGGCCTCTATCTTCATCATCCTTCTCTACATATGTATTGTCACATAATTTTCAATTAGTCTGGCAGCACATTAGATACAAATTCTCAAACCCTATATTGAAATTTGGGCACCTTAATTGTCAGTAATAATAATCCAGATCCACTTCTGTGCTAAATCAATAAGCCAAAATTTATCTACTTTTTCTTTAAATGTTCTGGTTTGGTTGTGTTCTGCTTCATTTTCATTTAAATTTACCATTGTTCAGTAGATGCCCTTGTTCAAATGCGCTGTTTGTTGCTTTACTTGGATACAATTATTTGGGTGGGCTAGCCCAACTTGAGCTTTTAAATTTACAAATCAGTCTCAAATCGGGATGAGTTTTATCAAAATCCAAGCTTGTTCGGATTGGGCTGGGTTCAATCCGAACCCAACCCAAAATCCCAAATTATATAATTTAAGCCCAAATCAATAGAAGCCCACATCCTATTTTGTTTTTTAAAAATTCTTCCAATTTTTATTTATTTATTTATTTTTTTTTTAACAAATAAGCAAAATATTATCCCTGAAAAATCATTTTACATCCCCTGAAATTTATTTCAAAAACTGCCACTTTGCCGGAAAAAAGAAACTATCAAAAACGAAAATTTAAAATTTTTGGTGGATGGACTGTATTAATAAAATTTTAACCACTTTTTCAACTCAATATGATTCTGAAAATCGTATTTTCATCATCTCCAATACAGACATTTAATTGTGAGCTTTCAGGAGGTGTAAAAAAAAAAAAAAAAAAAAATACTATAGCATTTAACAAAATTAACACTTTTAACAAAATCTAAGTATAAGAAGTTCCAAATTAACAATAGCCTAAAACTAAAAAGGATAAAATTAAAGTAACAGAGCATTAAATTATATCACGGTTGAGTCTAAGTAAAAGATTTAGAAACAGAGAGAAAAAATTAGAGAGAAAAAAACTTATCAGGTTTTTGTTCAGAACTTAATCTGGATTTTCTTTAGATCCAAAGAAAGGGACACGACTAACTATACGTCCTTCAAACATGTCACTATATATAATTATCACTTCAGGTTTATCTAATTATCAAACTTAATTCTAAATAAATATATATATAATAACAAAACATTAAAAAGACCAAAAAAAATTACTTCTAAGTTCTGACATTGAATTTTCCGAGCTAAACGTGACTTTATCTACTTTAAAAAAATAATAATAAATAAATTAGAGAGAGGACTTTGACCCAGTCTTCTTGTGAGGAAAGTTGAAGGAAATGGAGAGGGAAAAGACCTGCAGAGAAGCTCAACCTCTCTCTATTTCATCTTCAAATTCAGAAGTCAGTGATTAAATAACATATAAGTTGATGGATTTCCGCAAAGAATAGCAGACCACGGGATACATATCATATTAATCAGGTGAGAAATATTGATGCATCTACTTTCCTCTATAAACCTTTCTTTTCAAAGATACTAACATCACCAATCGGATCTGATTCTTGTGAATTTTTATTGTTAGTGTTTAAGCCTAATTATTTAGTTATTTATTTTTTTGGGGAATTACATACGATTCTCTGACAACTAATACTTGTGATATGCAAAATCCTGTAGTAAAATGTACATATGCATGTATATATATGACCGGATATATGGTAGGATCTTTCTAGAAATTTATGAATTGATAGGTTCTTGTTGCTGTATATATGAAAGTACTAATCCTGAAAACATGCATGTTCTCTCGGAAAACCTCATTAGTGCTTTATGAAAGTTCAGTTTATTGATTATCCATCGTAAATTAATTAATTATTGTCTGCTAAATATACTTGTTTAGGATATTTTTAATTAATTTGAAGATAATTAAGGCGGAGTATGGGAACCATCTTCAGCAGCAGAGTCTCAAAAAGGGAGAGATACATGTTTTGCAACGGCGGCCTGTTATTAGAAGAACTACTCCATTCATGTGATGGAAAATACAATTCCTTCCGAAATTTCTCGGCCAGAGAGCTTGCACAAGCAACCAGTTATTACAGCGAGCAGTACATTCGCACCGATTATTGCAATATGTATAATGGGATCCTCAATGGACGTCGAATATTTGTCAAATATCCTTGCGATTTATAACAAAAGATTTGCTTTAGAATGGGCCATTAATGAGATTGTGTTTGCCTCACAAGTGAACAGCCACAAGAATATACTCATGCTCTTAGGTTGCTGCCTTGAAACTGAAATTCCAGTGCTAGTGTATGAGTAGGCAGAAAATGGAACTCTATCACATCATATTCGCACTGGCTTTTTACCATGGAATTGTAGATTAAAGGTTGCGAAGGAGATTGCTGATTCCTTGGCCTATCTCCACACAGGGTTGTCCACACCCATCCTCCATAGGAACATAAAATCCAGCAACATCCTTTTAGATGAGAATTATGTTGCCCAACTATCAGAGTTCTGCTTGTGTATATCAATGCCTTCGGGGGAGGAATACGTAGAAGCAAGTGGGGTGATAGGGACAATGGAACATATTGCTCCTGAACATTTCACAATGGGTAAACTAAGTGAGAAAGTGCGATGTTTACTCATTCGGACTACTATTGATTGAAATTTTGTGTGGAGAAAGTTACTGTGCTTTGTTGCTTATGTTTGACGATCTCAGAAATATCAATCGAAGTAAATCGAATTTGGTGTCAAGTGGTGGTTGTAATTTGGTAAATGGGGTTGAGGGAAGGGATTGTGATGGGGTTGCATCAAATCATAGAGCAATTGACTTGATATCTGCCAACAAGTTGCAGGAGGTGAACGGTTCTGAACAAGAAATATCAAATGTCGTAAATGTTACTGACAGAGATGCTAATTCAACATCTTCTGATGACATAGGTGCTCATTCACCATACACTGATGAACACCATATTTGCTCAGAAGTGGAGGAGGAGGAGGAGGAATTTATTTTTCAAGCTATCGTGGAGGCTGCTGAAAAGTATATGGGACCAGAAAACATGCATGTTGGAAAGTCACTTGAAGCAATTGAAGGCATTAGCCGAACTTGCATTTGGATGCTTTAAAGAGAGTGCACAAGAGAGGCCAACGATGAAAGAAGTAGCGCAAGAGCTTACAAGGATGATAAGATTTCAGCATATTAGTCCATAGGCCACGAGTCCCGGAAAACAGATCGTCTCTCTTCATCTTCTTGTTCCTTCTCAGCCTATGAAAGACAATTTCTCCATTAGTTTTGCCTGAATTCCAACACATCAGAACTTCCAACTAGATGTTAAAATTTAGGCACAACTCAAAAATCACACAACTATATTTTATTGCCAATATTTCCGTTCTCTTGTTCTGAACTTTCTTAGTTGGCTTATTTTGATGTAAAGTTATCAAGACCAGTTGCTATATTTGGGTGTTAATATGTAGATTAAAGATGTAATAGTGTTGTTTTCATCAATTCTTTTTTTAACCGTTGCTATTGGGTGTTTGAAAAGAAAAATCAAAACATTGATCTTTTTTTTCTTTCTTACTAAGGTCGAGGGTGTTTCCTTAAACTGTGTGATCACTTGGTGCTAGATACTACCGCTCGTGGGTTTTACAACTACCTCATTAAGTAAATAAAAATGAAAATTACTAGCTGTAGTTAATGGCGGACCCAGAAATATATTTTGCCCCACCACAATGCGGCCTCGCGCGCGGGGGCCGGGGGTAAAGAAAGAGGTTTAATGATGAGAGTAGTTTTATGAATGCTGATATTTTATAAATTAATTGAATTAAATAATTAGGGAAAAATATGACATTTGAAACTACAGAGGGTGACATTATTAAAAAAGTCAGTTGACTCGCATCCAAGTGTATTGACCGAAACCTTACGGGTGTTAATTCAATTTATCCTTTTTTTAAAATTTAAAATTTGTATATACATTTTACAATAATGAAACAAACCCGCCATAGAATGGATGTTTGATTTTTTGGGTTGACCCCCTTACCTTTACCTAGGAAAGTTGCTTGCATGGATTTTTTTCCCCTTCTTCTCAAAATTTTTTATTTTATTTTTATTTGCCTTCTCAAAATTATTGGAGCTCCTCACTGGGAATCAATCCCTCATCGTTTTTTTTTTTTTCCTTAAACCCTTCTTAGTCTCTTTCTTTCTCTCTTTTGTCCCTCCCATGGTGAATTCCGGCCTTTAGCACTGCAGAGAATTTTGAAGCTAATGGTTTCATTTTGTATGAAAGATGGATTTAATAGAATAGAGTAAATTTTTGATATCAAATGATTTGGAATTTGAAAGTTGAATGAGACGGGTGTGGGAAAGAACATCAAAAGAAATTATTATGAAGTTTGGAGTAGAGAAAATCAACTATTTTTTTAACATTCAATATCAATTAAATTTAGAAAAGTCGACATGCGACAATTGATCAAAAGATGTGACTGTAAAGTATTGTAATAGGTCCACACCCATATGTCTTTTTCAATTGTTGTGTGTCGATAAATATATCACGATTCTTAAATTAAAGTCCAGAATCCATTAAAAACAATCATTTCTTTGGTAAATAGTTCAATTGTCTCCAACTAGAAATTTAAGAATTAGTGCAACACTTGTTTAATTTGTCATACAAAGGGTAAGAACACCCCTCTTGTGAAAATAATAATAATTAAATTAAATTAAAAATAAAATTGATCAAGCATACCAAGTCTGAGGCTTTTTTTTTTCTTTTTCATTTTTTTTTTCTTTTTGTTCGAAAGTTAAAATAAACACACACCATGTTATTAGGGAAAAAAAAAACTTATACCATCTTAATTAGTATCCATTGGTTACCAAGTGTGAGGTTGCAAAACCAATTTCAAAGTAGTGACTTCATTAATAATAATATCAAAGCTTGATACTTCACTTAGATCCCTCATCTCATAATGACTCATATTTTTAATAATGTAATTCTCTTTTATACACACACACACACACACACACACAGAGTTAATCCACAAGCTCACTAGCTCCAATCTCAGCCTCATAATGCCACTAATACATGGCAAACAAGCATCTGAATACAAAATACTTCGTTTTAAAGATGTTTCCTTTTTTTAAAATGTGCATTCTTTTGTTGAACAAAATTATGACCTCTGATCTGTCTCTCATTTCCACAGAGCAAGACCTCTATAATCTTTTCCTGCAAGACTGTTCTACCTCCCATTCTCAAAGCTGGTTGCTAATGTGAAGTTTAAAA